TCCAGCACTGGAAGGGGTTCTAGAGATCAGCAGGATGCCTAATTGGAGGTATAAAATTAGGGGGAGGAGGAAAGCAAAAATAATTAGCATTAAAACTCTGCTATATTTCTTTTTGTTATGTAAAGGCAATAGATTTGTTACAAAAATCCATTAAAGATAAGATGTCTTTTTGAAAAGTTTATCTAGAAGGCAATAATGTGCATGGACACTCTAGAGCCACAGTGCCTATTTTCAAACACCAGCTCCACCACCAAAGGCATTCATACTTAAGGTACAATGTATTATGATGTATGTATGTTGGAAAGACTGGAAGTACTATATGTCAACGTAAGTATTAGAGATTATGTATTAACTACATTAAATTAATTAAATGTATTGTAAATGTAGTACCATATGTTAATGACCAGCACATAGCAAGCACTATTAAATATTTACTTTTATTTCTTTCAGGTAACATTTATTTTGTTTTATGTGATCAATACTATTGCCTAAAACACACCATTGAGAGATTATAAATTACCAAAAGTAGTTTCAGTTAAAGAGCCATGAGAAAGACAAATATTTCTTCATTGTAATAAAACTATTTTGAGCTAACACTACCCTTCTATATGCAACATTTACATGCATAATCTCAAAAAGGAACAAAATCACGAACTGAAACCAAGACACACAAAACTCTTTCCATGAAGCAGGTGACAACTGATATAATTAATAGAGACTCACTAAACACAAACTATCCAAATGAGGCTCCTATCCAGAGCTAGATATTTTGTGCTTATTAAAATAAATATGAAAGCTCCAGGGGGAAAAAAATCAAGTAAGTATTTTTCTGGCTCCAAGTCATATTTTTTCAATTCTCCTAAAGTTAACATAACTAAGATTAATAAGAGTGCAAAGGAAACTCCAAATCTTAAGAAAAATAATGTTATTTTTTTCTTAATCACTTTACTTACTTTAGAATTTCCAAATTATTAAACTTCACAGAGTCGCTAGAACCTAGTGGTTTTGTGCTTTTTATTTAGTTAGGAAAATATGTTTCTTATTTCATTAGTTATTCATTTCAACCCTGCAAGACGTACTAAAATGGATAATGAATCAAAAGAGAAGCGGTGTGCTGGGGGAAACAAATCTGGAATGATTACCACAACAGGTAACGTTATTCTGTATTGCCTAATTCCTGAGTAAAAGCCATGAACAGTAGCATTGGTTTTCTTTGAGGATATTTGAATTGAGGAAGGCCTCCTCTATTTCTATAGGGTGATGGTTCAGATCATTGTTTTTCATGTATTTATTACAGTCCATGACAAAAATATTCAAAGGTCCAAGGTAAAATGAGAAAAGTGAGCTCATATAATAAATTTTAAATGAATTTAAATATATTTTATTGACATTTTTAAAAATTGCAGTTTATTCTTTTTTTCCTATTGAGAAATGTGCGGGTGCAGAAAGAATATAGTTAAAGTATTTTCCCTCTTAAAACTCATGGTCATTGCAGGTACTTTATTTATTTATTTATTTTTTCTCATGAAAAACTACTCTAGTGTGATATATAACTCCTAAAATTTATGGTGTGTTAATAAATCACTAATTAAAATCTGTAATTTCTAATTTTCCTTCAAAGTTTTATCCCAGTGTCTATGCATTGCCTTGCTGATAGAAAACACAATAAATTTTTAAGAGAATAAATTAAATGAAGAAAGAATGAATGAATGAATGAATAAACACATGGTTGTAGTTCTGTTAATCTTCATTTATTTATTTATTTATTCAAATCTATCCTGGAGAGAAGCACATGCTTATGTCAAAGAAAGTTTAGCAAAGAACTTAACGAAATTTGAGAGCCTTTAATCAGTATGTATTATTATGACACAGTTCTGCATTTCTTTCAATTAGTTACCTTTTTTTTTTTTCCAGTGTCTTCCAACTCTTCTACTGCCCATAAATCATGCCCCTCTAAAGACTGGCAGCTGCATGGGGGGAAATGTTACTGGGTTGCTAAAACTAAGACATCTTGGAACAAAAGTCAAAATGACTGTGCCATGAAAAATTCACATCTCATGGTGATTCAAGACTTCATCGATATGGTGAGGTTTAATATTTAGAGATTATAGCATCCCCTACATTTGCCATGGAATTTATCTTGCTACAAACTTGGAAAATGTCTGTGAAATTTTTTTTTAAAAAACTTCATGTGCTATTAACTATACGAATATTAATTGAGTTGATTTTTAACTACATGATTACTTTAGGCTACTTTTTGGCTTGGGGGAGGACGAATGTATTCAGTACCATATGCCTAAATTCTTCTCCACAAAAGATCATTACTGCTTGCCAGATTCCATTTTAAAATGTAAGGTTAAATATCATATTTCATCTCCCATGTTTATTGCAATGCTCATGAGGCCTGCAGCCAGATCACATGGTAACTGAAATTAAGGATAATATTGTGAGAAAGGAAATGTAGAATAATCCTTACTGAGATTTAGTTCTTTCTTGAAGAGAGCTAATATTTAGCTAACTCTAGTTTAATTTAAATTGAAGTTTTACTAAAGGAAAGTTGGACACTACTTTAAACCTTCTACAGGTAATCGATATGGCCAATATACATGCTAATTAGCAAACATCAAATAAGGGTTCTCAGCATGAGCCTTAGTGTTAGCATCACAAACTATGACAATGGCTCAGTTTCTGCAAACCTAGTGACTAGCAGTGGTTTACAATCCTGATTGAACACCAGTCACCTGGGAGGGCTTACCAAAGGGCAGCTGTAGAGACTTCTGGGGGTGGGGGGACCTTCTTAGTTTCACAGAAATCAACAGCATGAAAAACAAAAAGAAAAGTAAAACTATTTTCAGCGTGACCAGCATAATCCCAAATATCAAACTGTGAGACTCTCCTGTCAAGTGTAACAACATATAAACCAAATCTAAAATATAATTAAGAATAATAAAGAGACTTTTGTCCTCCTCCTGGAGTTCAATTTTAATATCCAAGAAAGGGGAAACAGGAATCAACTGAAAAGCTTCTAACAAGAAAGTTCTGAAAAAAATAAACAATAAATGATTGTATAGAGAAATTGCACAGTAAATGATTTCACTAAGAATCTCATATCTTGTGCAAACAATAAACCAGATTTTGGAGAGCAGTGGCCTAAGACGACACACTTCAATGGAAACTTTCTTCCTCTAGTTTAGGTTATACCTCATTTATTATTTTTAAGGAAGTAAGTGTGTTAAACATAATTGTCCCCTTTCGATGATAAATAAGAATCTAAAAAGAATCAGCACAAGACTTATGCACTGGTATGAATATTTCCAAACCTTAAAAAAAAGGTAAAAAACAGATAGAATATATATTACAGAAGAATAATTACTCCAAATAATAGAAAATCATTTTCTAAGAAATTATTTTCAAGCTTTAAAATAACTTAAAGGCAAAATGGCAAAAACAAAAATTATTAGTCCATCTAGGATACTCATCGCATAACAAAAAAGAAAAAGAAATCCCAAACCCAACCCAAATCTTAATGATTAACTCAAACCCCTTATTAAAGACCTAAGAGAAGGAGCTGGGTGCTCATTTCCAAGCACAAAAACTATTTAACTCAGCCTTTACTATTCTGGACAAGATATTCAACTTTCAACAAACAAGAATGAGGTATACAAAAAGACAAGAAAAAAGAAGATACGCCAAAGAATAGAGGGATATTACATAACGGTAAAGGAGCTGTATTACTGTACAAAGGCTGCCATAACAAAGCACCAACAGACTGAAAGGCTTAAGCAACAGAAATGTGCTTCTCTTGGTTCTGATGGCTGAACATCCAAGATGAAGGAGTCTGGTTTCTCCTGAGGCCTCTCCCCCTGGCTTACAGAGGGCCACCTTTTCACTGTGTCCTCACATGGTCTTTCCTCTGTGTGTGCACATTCCCGCTGTTTCTCTGCGTGTCCAAATTTCTTCCTCTTTTAAGGACACCAGTCACATTGAATTAGGACCCACACTGATAGCCTTGTTTTAATTTAGTCACTTTTTTAAAGGCCCTGTCTCCAAATATAGTCACATTCAGAAGTCCTGGGGGATAGGGCTTCAACAGCCCCCAATGAGCATCAATTATAAATGTGTATACACCAGAGCAAACACGATAGAACTGAAAGGGGAAATGGACAAATCTACAGTTATAGTTGGAGATGTAAATACACCCAAGTAATGACAAAAAAAATAAATAAATGAAAATTAGCAAGGAGATAGAAGAACTGAGCAACACTACCAACCAACTGCATCTAATTAACATTATAAAAAATTCTATCCAACGACAGTGGAATATACATACTTTTCAAGTACACATGGAACTTTCATGAAGGCAGATCATATTTTGGGATATGAACTAAAAATATTTACAAATACAGATATCATGCAAAATGTATGACTCAGACCATAAAAAATTAAACTGGAAATTAAGCACAGAAAGACAACTGGAAAATTCCTAAATATTTGGAAATTAAACTACACACTTCTAAATAATGTGTAAGTCCAAGAGGAAGTATCAGAGGAAACTTTAAAAATATATTTTGAGTTGAATGATGTAAGATGTCAAAATTAGTGAGTGTTAGGTTAAGCAGAGTTTAGAGGGGAAGGTACAGTATTGAATGCTTGTATTTAAAAAAGAAGTAATGCAGAATCAATCATCCAACCTTCTACTAAACAAACAAACAACAACAAAAACTAGAAAAAGAAGAGTAAACTAAACCCAAAGCAAACAGAAGAATGGATTTCAACTACTCAGTTTTATGTCTTACTGCAAAGCTAAATTCATTAAGGTGGTACAATATTGGCAAAGGAGAGATATACTCACATAGATCAGTGAGACTGAATAAAGAGTCCAGAAACAGACCCACACAGTACAACGGTTATTCATCAGAGAAAAGCTATTGTCTCCCTTGCACGTGTAATGATTACTTTCTGATAAACAGTTATATTATTTAGCATGTGAGTTCAGCTTCACGGGATTAGCAAAATTATTGTAGCTTGAACGAGACAGGGGTTTACTTCTTTCGTTGACTCTAAGATGCTCTCAATTATAAAATGTAACATCAGTATCAATTAGAAAACAAAAATGAAGATGCCAGTAAAACGACTACAAGTGATTAACTGTAAGAAGTTAGCAGTTTCAAAGTGCTAAAACTGGGATAAAATCTAAGAATATATGCAATCGGTTCACTTTCTCACGCCACAGTGCCGACTGCTGTGGGTTTCTGCTCATCACCCTCATCAGGAGGGAGCTGCTCCTGACCATCTGGTCCTGGTTTGGTTCACCACCATCACTACATTTTGATCTACATTAAGAAAGAAGAAAATGATGGAAGGAAGGATACATACAGCCTTACCCCTTAAGTACATGATTAGAATTTCAATACACTTCCATTCTATGCCATTAGTCAGAAATTAGGTCGTTCATATTGTCACACCTAGACAGAAAGGAGAGTGAAAACTGTACCCTTTATTATGCTCCTTCATATAGTTTGGCTTAAGGGTGGGATTACTATAGAAAAAGAGATATTAAGAAACTATGAGCAATATGTGCCATATCAGCCCAGATAATGCTTTCTTCCTTTAATTCTCCCTATATTTTTCTCTTGTTTCTATACATTATTTGATATTTGCATTTAAAATAATGACTAACATTTATGTACTGAGCATTTATTATGTACCAGGCAGTGTTTAATAAGACTATCTAATAGCAAAACAATGATACCTCTTTGAGGTAGAACTGAAAGGAGAAATGGACTAATCTACAATTATAGTTGGAGATGTAAACACATCTAAGGAATGACAAAATAAATAAATAAATACATAAGAATTTGTAAAGAGATGGAAGAACTGAGCAACACTATCAGCCAACTAGATCTAATTAACATCATAAAAAATTATATCCACTGTTTATGTACTGAGTGTTTGTTATGTGCCAGACAGTGTTTAATAAGACTATCTAATAGCAAAACAAAAATACCTCTTTGAGACAGGTACTGTTCTTTCCTGAGTTTTAAAGATTGGGAAAGTCAAGTGGCAAGACTTAATAACTTGTGCAAGAACACACAGTAGTAAATTGCACAGCTAGGATTCAAATTAGGCCGTCTGACTTCGCAGCCTCAGTGTCTATGACCATTATACCTACTGTCCTTTAGCCATCGTCACGTTGCGTTGCAGTAGTGTGTTTACACATCTGTCCCTTCATGAGGATCTACTGGAACACACGAAGCACTCTTACTTCCCTGGTCATTCCCATCTTCAAGCACAGTGCCAAGCAGATAGAAGGTGCTCTTGAGATACTTTTCTTGTATCAGTAAGAATCAGTGAGTTGCTTCATATAACAGTCATTGTTCCCTTTAGAGTTTCCTTTGGCTGCACCTAAATTCTTCAGCCTTTTATTGGATTGGCTTGAATATTCCATCTGGAGGGACATCATGGATCTGGGTGGACAACAGCTCTTTTGACTCCCATCTGTGAGTTTATTGTATTGTAGCTTTTTTGTGATTTAATCCTTTATTATGTCACAAGAAAGTGTCGTTCAATAGTGTCAGGCTTGAAGTGAGTGATCAGGTATAAATTTCCTCATGGACTATTACAGACTGATAAAGAATTCATATAAAATGATCCACACAGAAAGTAGTGAAATGAAAGAACTTCATCCACTCAGAAGAAGGATGTGTGAAACCGGGTTTGCCACTGCTGCCTTTTTATTTTATCATTTTGTCTAAGAGGTAAATAGGCAAGTGTAAAATCTCCTATGAGAGTAAAAGTTTAATTTGCAAAATAGAAGTTTCTGCTCACTTCCAACAGTGATCAGTCATTTTTCAAATGACAAAAATTGGAGGTGATATTTTAGCCTCAGCCATACGCACCTCTAACTAATACTCATTAACTTCTACCTATTCTGGAGAGAGGTTTTGAGAAATAGAACTCAGGGTGAGAAGAATTACTTTACCCATTATATTGTTGGGTATTGTTTAAATGTTTAAGATTATATTTGTATTAAAAAGTAGAAGATATTTTCTGAGATCCTCTGGACATGTGCATACTTTTTTGGCTGGTATAAAGATAATCA